CCGGTTTAATGTTTGTAGAGTCTCAAATTTTCCATGTATTAAGATGGGTGATAGATTAACAGGACGTAGGATTTTCTCGAGGGGGGGGGGGGGCGGATTTTCAAAAATAATTCGGAAATTTGATCGACTTTTTTTTAGGTCACCAAATTGATTTCCCGAGCTCTCCCAAAGAACTACTAACACTCTGTTTTGGCTAAAACGTTTGCGCCGCAGGCAAGTTTTTGAAAATCAGGCCTGGAAAATGTTGAACAAAAAATCGCGTATTTTTGGCGCGCGCTCCCCCCTTAAAATTAGTATAAATTGGAGCTAAAGGCGCCTTTAGAAAAATTTAAAGATCCATCATCAAAAATGGATGAGAGTCCAACACTGGAATTTTAGGGTCGATAACTGAGGGGGAGGGGCGTCCGCCCCCCTAAATCCGCCCCTGAAGAGAAACGTGGATATTACTTATGAATCATTCTACTCACTATTCTATTGTTCACTATTTGAAATTTAAATCTGTTTTCAGGAGATCTCCGATAACTGTTTATCAAAGAAAAAAGGTTCACGCTGAGATCTTGTTGTAAATTTTTTGATAGGAAATGTTAAATTGTTACATGGTTTGTCATATTTTGTGCTTTATTGTTTCTTTTTACAGTTTTTAACTATCTGCCAGCTTACTATCTTACAACATCCGAATACCCGATACGAAATATCTAAAAGAAAACATTGTTTTGGAAAACGTACCAGCAAATTGACAACAATTGACTCAAAATCTGTCAGCAAGTAAAACTTTTTTCTCAGAGCGTTAAAACAATTAAACTGAACCACTAGAGCTTAAAATCAGCTTAAAATGAACTACGAGAGCTACGATAACAATATCAATTAAACAGTTTGGCTCACACTTTTAAAAGTAGATGGAGATTTTTTTGTAATTAACTTTTAGGTAGGCAACTTGAAAATATGACAAGAATTCTCATATTTTTTTAGCGTTTATATATTTGAAGCTATCATGAATTCTACAGAAACATATTTTAAACATCCGAATACTCGTAAGAAACCTAGTCTTCAGTTTTGTTTTGAAAAAATTACTTGACGAAATTCGGCTCAAAATCATTTATTTAATTAACCTACTAAAAACACGATTCTTTATAAATTGCGAAAATGGCTTCCTTCATTAATTCTAGTTTGAAAAACATGTAAAATTTCTAATAACGTTGCCATGTTTTGAAAAAAAGAACAACATTCAGTTGAATAGTGGAATTCCAAATTTAGGACAAAAAAATCCTGAAAAATTAAATTGAACCCAGGTTTTAACCAATTTTTATATCATATTTATCATCCAATGAGCCTTCAGGACAATGTTTTATCAATGAGAAAATCGTGGTTCACCAATTGAGTATCCTTTTTGAAGTATATTTGAAATAGGGGATCAATGATAACTGTATAAACCGAAGATCAAAAAGGCTTAAAAACAAATGTGAACAGATTTTAACCCTTGCTTGCTCACACATACCAGAGAAAATTTATTAATTTTTTTAGTGAGAGCTTAATTCTAAACTAACAAAATTGGTTTAAGTTCATTTTTTGTTTCTAATTTCATCGTAAGTTTTTCTAAAATTGTGCAAATTAGTTAATTTTTTAGATAAAATGTTAAAGTTAATATTAAATATAAAATTACTGTTTCTGACAAAGAGGCAAGGCTGACCAATGCAAAAAGCTAAGGGGAATGCGACAAAAACGCAGTTTCATAAAGTAAAATGAAAAATGCAGAAAAAAATCTAAAAAAAACAAAACTTAGCTACTTATCGCATTCGAACTTACAATTTTGAGGTTTAAACACTCACGCTGTGTTCTCTCAGCCACGGAGGCTTATCAATAATCAAACATTAGCCACAAATAAAGCAGAAGTACAGACGTTATTAAAACAATAATACAGCTATTGATTATAGCGAAAGTGCCAATAAATGAGCATTTTATTTGCGAATTAGCTTTGAAAACAAGGAAAGCTCAAACTTCAACACTACGCTCGCTAGCTTGAAAGTGTAACATTTTTTTGCGTTGAGATTTCTTGAATTTTGAATTGGTTCGAATTAATGTTTTTTTAGTTTAGGTAAAATTAATTTGCGTTGAAAAAATCAATATGACTTTTGATTGACCTCATTTTTTAAAATTCTTCTGAAAGTTCAAGTATTTTCATTACGAATTTATGTAGCTCTCGTTGTCTTTTTTTTTACGAGATATTGTCTAGTAAAACCATAAATTTTTTTCAGGTGAAAATACGTAAACCTTCGTAAGAAGGTAATACAAAGCTGATTGAAACACGGGCATAATAATATTTGATTCAAACTTTTAAAAAAACGATATGCGTTAAAGAATAGATTGTGTGCCACCATTGAGCAAAGTTGAGTCGAGTTCGTTAAAATTCAAATCATAATTTTTGGTTCTAACAATCAATGATGGACAACATATCTCTCAACGTTCTGGACTCTATTTTGATTTTTGTATCGCTGTTATCTCTGAGGCAGACGAGGAAGGAGTAATAATTTATAGAAAAAAATAAACGCTTTTAAGCAGAAATTTTTTCTGTGTAAACAAAACAACCTGCTTTTTTCCGTGGTAAAATTGTCGTGATAATGACCCTTTTTATTCCAGCTTTTGACGAGAATTTGGAATATTTGAGCTGATTTAAGCTTTTGTTCTCCAGACAAATTGCAACTTTGATTTATAGTCTAAAAGAGAATAATGGCCAATAAAAGTTTTCATAAAGTAATGGTAACTTTGGGCAGTTGATACGCTCGAGAAATTTCTCTTAATAACTAGTTCAAGCAACATAGTTCGAACTGAAATCTATCCGATTGGAAATGAGAAAACTAATTGAAAAAAAATGGCGTTGATTTTCGCAAAACTGATTATTTTGTTGGTTAAGTTGTGTGTCGGCTGCTGTGATAGACCTGAAGCTAGGAGTGAAATGAGAGCGTGTCCTCACACACTATCGTTGCCATCGGATGGGATCGATCACACAATCTGAGGACCTCCATGGAAATTTTTACCGCTATGCGAAGAATGAGAATGTTTCTTTTTGTTTAAGATTTATTTTGAATTTATTTAACGTTTTTTTTTGTTTAATTAGGTTTATTGTTAGAAACTAACTTAAAAATAGGAAAGCGCTGTGAACGATTCCTTTACAGTTTTTCTCGTATACAAACTTGACCGAAAAGTTGAATTGGAAAGCGCCTGCACCCGTTGCACACTAAAATCTACCGAATCCGAAATTATACTTCTACAACTGCAAAGTTATTCTTACAAAACCTTTAGTTTGTCAGAAAATGAATGAGGCCATAAATATAAAGCAATAAGAATGCGGCAGAAGGGGCCCTCATCGACTAATAAATTGAACTAAGGATGAATCTAAAATAAAATACCAAAATGGCTACAAATAGCACCTTCAGCCGGTAAGTTAGTAGACCTTGTGCACATTGAATAACACATATACGTTAGCATTTTTTGCTCCTAATTAAATTGTGGTTTGCAGGGGTTTCGGTAAGTACACTCTAAACATTGTGCAAAACTACATGCAAAACGAATTGATTTCTTCTGACTTTCGAAAAGCGTTTTTCAGGGTGTTTGTGCTCTAAATTTGTGCTCAGGGAGGTTTTTCGTTTTTTCTTGTGCAAACTCTGTGTAAGCGTTTACCTGCATTTACAGTTTCCCTGCATTTGTTACAGTGTTTTTCTATGTGTTTATTTTAATCCAATTAAGCTTTCTACAGACCAAAAAATTCCGGTTTTTGATGCTTTTTTGATAAGCATGTAAAAGTATAATGAGATTATGGCAAATCTGGTTAGCGTTCGCAGTTTATATCAGTTTTGAAAAAAAAATTGATACACTATCACTAGGGTCGGGTATTTGTTCGTGGGTTGCTGTCATTGTCCGCGGTTTGTTTCCACATACGCAGTGAAACAAATAGAAAAAGAAGGCCAAAGAAGGTCACAATAGCGAGCACGACAGCAATAGGAATGACTATGATGATGTCCGTTTTGCCTCTAGCTACGACGTTTATCTCCGATGGCTAAAATACACAGTTTTTTAGGGATTTTAGTCAAATTGAAAATCTACTTTAGACACTTTAAATTACTAAAATTATGGTTGTTGATCAGAAATTGTAAAAAATTGAGAACATTTTTCTTTTCATTGATTGTTTGGACATTTTTTTAAATAAAAACTTTCCAATAATTAGAAACACCTAATGCCATGCAATTGAGCAGAGCATGAACTGAAAAAAATCTCGATTGCTGTTAAATATAATTTTGTGTTTTTTCCCATTCTCAAAAAAAACTGCTTCTAAAATTTTTTGTTAGATTTATCTAGGGAACTGAGCGACAAGTAAACATACTAAACATACTAAGTAAAGAACAAATTTTTTGTTGCATAAAAAATCTGACAGCAAGTTATCATTTATTTCCCACCGTATTGTTGCAGTATATTGCGGCAGCTTTTTTTCGACACTAAAAAAAATGTTTTAAAAAGTTGTCCGATTCCCAACAGAAACGCAAGCGAAGGCTTCATTATGATCTGAAATTGATACATCAAACAAATTTTAAACGATATTGAGTGTTTTTTAGCCATGATTATGACTGTTTTTTCTCAAAGAAACTTCAATTTGAAAAAATGGACCAATAAATAAATTCTCTATGCTAAACGCGTAATTCTCTCGCTCAACGCGTAATTATTTAAGCTCAACACGAAAAAAAAACTTGTTTTGAGAAATTCAGACCAAAATGCTCCAATTGCTCCAATTGCAATGCTCAAAATTGCGTCAATTATTTTGAACCACTTGCTTTTTTATACAGAGAGCTCATGGCTTCATATGAAGGTTTTCTACAGAATGATTTGAATTGACCGAACAACGTTAAAAACTTCAAACTCGGTTTTCTTAAATTGCTTAATTTATGTATTTTGTTTTGAGAAATTCAGACCAAAAAGCTCTTTCAAAATTGCGTCATTGTGGCTTTGTTAGTTTAACAGGAGTTACGCTGAAACTAAAGAGTTGCTTGATGAAAAACTTAGATCAGAAAAAACCTCCTACACAACACAGCCCAACAAAGTTCTGGAAAAAATTCGATTTCATTTTGATTTTGTTTTGTCCGGATAAATTAGATTACCACTGTACCATACTAGATATACAAGCGATGTTACTCCAAACTTTTTGCTGTTACTCCAAAAATATCTGCCACATTTATTTTTTTTTGTTTTTCTAGTCACTTTGTGACTAAAACTGTTGTTCATCTTGCCAATTTTAATAAGAGCGTCGAAGTTTCAGGCTTTTTGTTTAATCTTTTTTTTCAAGAAAACGGTCGAAACATTCTGATTTTTTTTGCCAGCAACCTCCTTTCTTTGTTCTTAATTGCTATACTAAAAAAAATTTTTAAAAGATTGGGCTCAGAAAAAAAGTATATCAAACCAATTGCGTTTGAGAAAACTGTTGAGATTGAAAAAATAGGGCTGAAAGAAACGTAGGTTAAAATTTAGACGATGTTGAAAATTTTTGAACTCACAAACTTTATAACTTTTTATATTACTTTCCAATTGACCGTTTGAAATAGGTTGCTTAGAGAATCAAACACGAAAATAAATATTTTGCTAGTCATTTTTGTTGTCTATTTAATTAGTTTTTTGTTAAATTTTTTGTTTTAAAGCTAAAACTTTGGAAACCTTAACAACTGACAGTCAGAATTTTTGCCCTAAAACGAGCATTATTGTTATTCCTGCAAGACTTACAAGCTCATTAATAACAAATCTGTCTAATGTAAGATCCATATCTCCGATTATCTGTCTTTCTTGGTGCGGTTCTCGTCTCGGACCCGAGTAGTCAGTTGGGAGTTCACTAATCCAGACCATTATTTGGATCATTTGACCTGAAACAATCTTAGTTTTAACTCAACGATTTCTAAGTGCCTCATCTACCACTTGCCTAACATCCCGGAAACTAGCGACCTAAGCGGATATAACGAGGCGCACTTTTTTTCGTTTGTGTTGAAAAGTCATCTGCTTTCGTACCATTTTCAAGTTCCTCTGTAAAATATTAGCAATATTTTCCTTTTGTCCGTTTTTTGTTTGCTAGAGTCAACTTTTAATTGGCTATTGGACTCCATAATGAAATTACCATAATATGCCCTGTCCCTCAAAACCTATCACTGCCGTGAGTGCGGTAACTTTTCTATTCGGAGAAGTCTGCAATATTGTAAACCGACTTACTGGACGAGAGAACTGTCAAGTTGAACTCATTCAGCTGCAAACAGAACATGATGTTGTTCTGTCCGGTCGAATAGTTCAAGTTCAACTGACCCAACAAGAACTCCGTTTGAGTTCGTTCGAACTCAATCGGCCATCCTCGTGCACTCAGTTTCCCCTCTATTATCAGTGCAACTAGAATTCCTTGGAGATTAGAGACGTCATTCCATCTTCTTCTGAACAACAATCATTCGTGATAGAAACAACTACTAAATTCAACCATTAAGCATTCAATCGACATTTTTCTCGTGCAAGCTGATTTTATTGTTCCGACTTTCGATACGAAAGTAACGGAATATTTGTGCTCGGGGTGGGTTTTTTTTTCTTCAGACAAATTTCGACTTTTTAACTAGCCAATTTTGTTGGATTTTTTTTGTTCCGACTTTCGATACAAAAGTAACAAAATATTTGTGCTCGGGTTTTTTTTGGTTTTTTTTTCTTCAGACAAACTTCAGACAGACTTTTTAACTAGCCATTTTTGACGGAATTTTTTTATATCATTCAAAAGATATTGTTGTCTTGAGCTTAAATTTGAAAAGATATTTCATCTGTGACCATTTTTCGTAAAGTTATGGGGGTTTAAAGATGGTTCCAAATTGGTTCAAGAAAGCTTATATGCCATAATTGGTATAATAATCGGAGCGAAATCTATCTTTTTGTACTTTATATGGCGTGTGGGAGGATGACTTTCATAAAAATTTTAAAATTTTAGAAAAAAAATTTCATTTTATTTTCTTATTTTTATTTTTTTTTGTTATTAGTGCTCATGAAACCTCAAAAGGCAGTCGGAACATCCAGGGCTTTGCCCTGATACAAGCAGTCTTGTTTGCTTTCAAAAAAGTAATTGTAAGGTTATTTTGCGAAGTTTTTCATTGAAGTTGAAAGGTCTCAGTTTGTCGAGACTCAACAGAAGACTTGTTTGTGAATTGGCAATAATTCCCTGTTATTTTGCTACATATTGACATTGAGAGGAAACTAAATTTCTCATCTCCTCTCTTTTCACATGATTGGAGAAAAGAAACTTACTGAATATGGGTGTTTTCCAAGCAAATGGACCCATTCCCAACATCCTTCGTCATCCGCATTTCCGATGTGTCCAAACTGGGCGTCTCCTGTTTCGGAGTGTACAAAATCATCTTACACTCCGACCAATTCTACCCTTAAACAGGTGTTGTCGTTTATATTCTATGACGAGCCAACTTAAGAATGACATGTAACACTCTGAGTTCAAAATGCTCATGGTCTGATATTTGACTGCACTTATAGTTTTTTGGAGGGTCATGGTTTGGAAGGTCACAGTTACCTGTAAAATAGTGACCCCTTGACCATATCAGTGTAAGCTTATTTTTGTGAAGTTTTTCATTGAAGTTGAAAGGTCTCAGTTTGTCGAGACTCAACAGAAGACTTGTTTATGAATTGGCAATAATTCTCTGATTATTTTGCTGCAGGTTGACCTTGAGAGGAAACTAAACTTTTCATCTCCTCTATTTTCACATGATAAGAGAGAAAAAACTTACTAAATTTGGATCCTTTCCAAACAAATGGAGCCATTCCCAACATCTTTCTTCATCCGCATTTGCGATGTGTCCAAACTGGGTGTGGTCTGTTTCGGAGTGTAGAGACTCATCTTACACTCCGACCCATTGTACCCTTAAACATGTGTTGCCAAGTTTAGTCTGCCTCGAAGCAAGTTAACAAGGCATATACAACATAATACTGTTAGGAATGATCATAGTCTGTTACTTTCACGTCTCCTATGTTCTGTTTGCTCATGAGGAGTGTGAAAGTTACCTGGGTGATAATGTCCGGAGATCCACGAGAACCCAGATTGACTCCGACCTTGTTCGCTTCTGAGTGAGTGCGAGGAATGAGTTGGAGCTCCCAACTGGTTCTCAGCTGAAGAAGCTCTGTCCTTCTGATATTTTCCATCGTTCCGAAGCTCTGCGCTATTTGCACAGAAAATAATTGACAGCAAGAACAGAAACATAAGTGGGAGCATGGCTGCACCTTCTATGTGTAAGAACCAATTTGGGAAATCTTGTAATAATAAAAGAAAGCGGATACAGCTTTAGAGGGAGAAAATTAATTGGAGTTGTGTGATGAATACTATGCAAACACGTGATATAGCTTTCAAAAAAATTTGAAGTAGATCTGGCAAACTTTGGAAACGTGAAGTTTTGAGAAATTATATCCAGCAGTGGATACGAGCTGTGAAAAATAAAGATAGTTTTGTATGCGATAAGTCGAAAACAAGCATAAATTGATGGAACTGATAATTGGCTATAAGTATAAAATAATGAAGTTAAAACAGCAATCAGTGCCGATGTGGACATAATAACGTTGTTTTGAATGAACGTCATAGTTTTATAAATAAAAAATGTGCACACATTTTGAAATTAGTGCGTCTGTCTCACCAAAGCACGTGTTATTGAATCTCATGAATCTGATGAACGTACGGCAATGTTCACATGACAAGTTGCATATTGCGTGGCCACTATGGTAGAAAGAGTTCTAGAAAGTTCTAGAAGGTTCTAGAATGTTGTTCAGCGTCATTGATTAATTCGGAGTGCAGCCAGTATTTAGACAGCCGCGTATTCATTCTCGTCAGTATTTAGACAAATACTGTATGAACCAATCAGAATCGAGAAAAGACCTAAATAAACCAAAATAAATCATAATTATTTATTAATTTCTTCTTTGTCTCGATTCTGATTGGCTGAAACAGTATTTGTCTAAATACTGACCAGTCTGCTTACGCGGTTGTCTGAATACTGACCAGTCTGCATACGCGGTTGTCTAAATACTGATATGTAACCGATTAATTTATTGTACGTACGTTAATGGGGGCTATTCTCATGCGCGAAAAAACTTGTGCGCGAAAAATCGAAAACAAAATTAGCCGAAAGTCAATTTTTAAAAGAAGCAGTTGCCATTCAATTACAAAGAAGTAAACGAAGAAACAGTTTATTTTTCCTTACGAAACCCTTGAAATGAAAAAACTTGTCCCAATTTTGCGGCGGTCAATGACAATATTTGGGTTTTGCATATTTCTGCCGTTTTTATATTCAGCCAATCTCAATACCTCAGTCCATGGAATTGTTTACTTTCTTTCCAAGTTTTAGATTACTGAAATCTGATTGGCTGATTTTTTTTTGCACATTCGGACTTTCGCGCATTGAAATTAAGACAAATCCTATGCGGTGCGTTTGTCTTACCAAAGCATGTTTTATTGAATTTGATGTACGTACGTTAATATTCACATGACAAGTTGGATTTTGTGTGGCCACTATAGTAGAAAAAAGTTCTAGAAAGTAAAAACAGCAATCAGTGCCGGTAAAACTGCAATCAGTGCCAATGTGGACATATTTTCGTTGTTTTGAATGAATTTCATCAGTTTTATAAATAAAATGTGCACATATATTGAAGTTAAGACAAATCCTGTGCGGTGCGTCTGTCTTACCAAAGCACGTATTATTGAATCTGATAAATCTGATGTACGTACGTTAGTATTCACATGCAAGGTGATGTACGTACGTTATTATTCACAATCTGATTAATCTGATGTACGTACGTTAATATTCACAATCTGATGAATGTTGTTCAGCGTCATTGATTAATTCATTGTACATCAAAAATAGCGGTCCGATAGTGGTTCCACGATAAACCTTCTAGAACATTTGGTCCTATTTGACCTGCTATTTGTCCTACTATACCTTGCCAACAGTTGATACCAGCTGTAAAAATAGTTTCTCCGTGCAAACTGTTTTTACAGCTCGTATCCACTGCTTGAGTAAAGTAAACAAGGTCGGAGTAAAGTAAAGTTCCAGTAAAAGTGAAATATTTTCCAAGACTCGCTGTTTTGGCGGGGGAAAATTTCGAAGACCCAGTTTGAGCGTGTTTTCAGCAATGGTTTCTGGTTGATAACATTGAAAAGACCTAGAATGAAAGTGCGAGAATATGATTTTGCAAAAAACTAACTAACATTTGGATTACGATCGATATTCTCAAAAAAATAATCATCTTTGACGGATTATAACCGATTGCTTAATCACAAACTGTATTTATAACCGACTCGCAGCCTTGGGTTTTTTAGTTGTTCAAGCAAATGTTTACATAGCCAAAAAAATTAAGATCACAGGGGAAAGTCGGGGAGAACTTGAAGGGTAACCTTGGTGGTAATTTTTGGCGATATTGCGTCCATTGAAAAATTCATACTAATTGTTTTGTTTATACTTGTTGCCCCCCACCAACTAAACTTTTTATAATAACTCCAACTATTTTCATTTCCCCTTTAGCACTACTTTCACCTTGCCAGCATTTACCGTAAAAGTACGTGGAAATTACACTAATTTCATGTCCCCACCACTTCCCCTAAAATGCACACACACATACCTTCAACAACACCCTATCCGAAAAGTCTCAGATAATTTTTTGTGGTAGCTGATTTTGCGTGAATAACAATCGAAGTAAAAAACTGAAAGAAACCCAAATACAAAGTTCCTCACTATCTTTCAAATGGTCGGAGCAATAATTTGCTAGCTTTTTTCGCGTCCATATACACTTGCTATATTACCACTAACAAAAAAAACCACACAAATGTGTGAAGTTTCTTTTAAAAAATCTATGCGTTCCGATCTTTGTTTTCGGATGTGCATTAATTTTTTTATATTTGCAGTATCAGATACCACGAATAATATCACTGTTCAATAAATGTTTTTGTGTCGAGAAAAACTGGTTTGAAAATCTTGAGTTTTAACCCAATTTCGAGCACTAAAAGCAAGCGAGCAAGCTTTTTTAATAAAATGCAGGATCACATTATTATATTCATAATGAGCTTTGGTTTTTTTCCGATTAACAGCCAAATGCCCCTTGAAAAAACATTAGGGTCGGTCAGCTAATTTTTGCTCCTTGTCTATCACATTTGCACTAGATGACGCCCGTCCCATCATACTTGCCCACAAATATGTACAGTCGGTTGAAGTAGCCCTACTCGAAAACATCCACAACATCAAACTGAATCACTAACCAATCGCATGTTTAAGAAAGTCCAATGGTACTCAAATCAGGTTAAACCAAGATTAAAACTGGATAAATTGTTCTTTTGAAACCCACGTTCAAATTTTATTCGAAGACCAAAACATCAAAAGAAAAACCTAAAACACAACAATCTATTTTGATAGAAAGACACAAACAAAGACAAATATAGAAAATCGTCTAATAAAAAAATTGAACACGAAAAGAGACTCTGCTCAAAGAGACGACAATAATTATCCCCTTCTGGCATAACCCACCAGAATAACGTCGCTCGAAGTACATGCGTTCACCATAGGCTACGACGGCGATCCACAATTTTTGCTTGGAGTGGCTCCATAGTGAGCAACTCTTTTAAAATAACCGAAACTAAATAAAAACGCTTTTGCGAAAGCAACTACTAAAAATAATAACTAAAACTGATCTCACTAACAAGATGTAGATTTAAAAATGCAATGTAGGAACGAGCATCAAAGGAAGATGTAAACTCGGTGATATTCCGAGTTTGGAACGGCATTTCAATTGGTCTGTTGCCGTATTCAAAACCCCCACAGGATTTAAAGTATGGACACAAAATCGCAGCAAAGGTACCCATTGAAGCAGCACAATGGCCAACCCGATGTTGACTTCACATACAGATTCTGGTCACTTGGCGCTTCACACAGAGAAGTCAAAAACTCCACTTTGAACGTAGTCTCGCCCTAGCTTAACGAAAACTGCACAACATTGCACTCAAGTGAATCTAGAGTAAACGAGACCCACTTCTGCAACCCGAGCAACTGTGCCCCTTCTCTCTATGAAGACAATTACTTGGAACTACCAACAGACGTTTCTCTCCTCTCCTTCACGCAGTCACTGCAAAAAATAAACCACTCCAAGAAACAAGAAATCTCTTCATCCATCCTACACTGCAATAAAAATGTAAAATTTAACACTCTTTAAGCCCCGGATGGGTGGAGCCAGTTCAAATCTAGTACTTATATCCAATTATTTTTTATATCCCCTTTAAATTAGTATAAATTGGCGCCAACGGCGCCTTTAGAAAAATTTAAAGATCCATCATCAAAAATGGATGAGAGTCCAACACTGGAATTTTAGGGTCGATAACTGAGGGGGAGGGGCGTCCGCCCCCCTAAATCCGCCCCTGAAGAGAAACGTGGATATTACTTATGAATCATTCTACTCACTACTCTATTGTTCACTATTTGAAATTTAAATCTGTTTTCAGGAGATTTCTTCTGACTTTCCAAAAGCGTTTTTCAGGGTGTTCGTGCTCTAAATTTGTGCTCAGGGAGGTTCTGATTGGCTGATTTTTTTCCACATTCGGACCTTCGCGCATTGAAATTAAGACAAATCATATGCGGTGCGTTTGTCTTACCAAAGCATGTTTTATTGAATCTGATGTACGTACGTTAATATTCACATGACAAGTTGGATATTGTGTGGCCACTATAGTAGAAAAAAATTCTAGAAAGTAAAAACAGCAATCAGTGCCCGTAAAACTGCAATCAGTGCCGATGTGGACATATTTTCGTTGTTTTGAATGAAAGTCATCAGTTTTATAAATAAAAATGTGCACATATATTGAAGTTAAGACAAATCCTGTGCGGTGCGTCTGTCTTACCAAAGCACGTATTATTGAATCTGATAAATCTGATGTACGTACGTTAGTATTCACATGCAAGGTGATGTACGTACGTTATTAATCACAATCTGATGAATCTGATGTACGTACGTTAATATTCACAATCTGATGAATGTTCTTCAGCGTCATTGATTAATTCATTGTACATCAAAAATAGCGGCCCGATAGTGGTTCCACTATAAACCTTCGAGAACTTTTGGTCCTATTTGACCTGCTATTTGTCCTACTATACCTTGCCAACAGTTGATACGAGCTGTAAAAATAGTTTCTCCGTGCAAACAGTTTTTACAGCTCGTATCCACTGCTTGAGTAAAGTAAACAAGGTCGGAGTAAAGTAAAGTTCCACTAAAAGTGAATTATTTTCCAAGACTCGCTGCTTTGGCGGGGGAAAATTTCGAAGACCCAGTTTGAGCGTGTTTTCAGCAATGGTTTCTGGTTGATAACATTGAAAAGACCTAGAATGAAAGTGCGAGAATATGATTTTGCAAAAAACTAACTAGCATTTGGATTACGATCGATATTCTCAAAAAAAATAATCATTTTTGACGGATTATAACCGATTGCTTAATCACAAATTGTATTTATAATC